TCAGTCATACAAAAAAACCCAGTAGATATGACAAGATTTTTCCCAGAGATGAAAGAAGAAAAAGTCACAGTAAAATTCTTCCTGTGTATTGTTCAGACATTTTCATTAATATTAAGAGTAACTGAAGGAGACAGATTTTTGATCCATTTTAATATGTCTGCTCAATTACTTTCTGAGTCGAACTTTTAAAAATGTCCTTTAAGCATTCTGTAAACAATCCTGTATTTCAACCAGTTTGAAAAAAGTCAGAGACATATTTCCTATTGTCTCTTTATATATATAGTATAGTATTTTAAAAGCACAAAATCCCCTAAATTATATGCCACAGGAAGCCAGAATGTTTCCAGTAACTTAACAAAAATGGGTGAACCCCAACAAGGAATGGAAAGAAGTTGAAATGGTTTTGCTTGTCAAGACACTGGCATTTCTGTAAAATCTGGCCCTCCAGGACCACAGTGAACATATGGCCTCATTGGCCCTGACTGGTATGCTGGGCTCTTGAAAGCCCTACAGGGGCAGATGCTGCCCACTACTCTAAACCTCTCCACACTCCTGTTGGCAATTCCTATTTTTACAGTATTGTTACTGCCACGGGTAAAGACCATCTTACTACCACTTCTGTTCTTGCTTTATGTTTCTTGATCATTAAAACCTACCTCCTTGAGGTATCTCAAATACCCTGCAGAAGGGACACACCAACCATGGTGCCATTTCAGCACCCCCAAATCACAATGCAAGGCCAGTGCCACAGAGGCATCACTCTCGCAGCTATGGCAGGGAAATGCTCAGGGCCACCACACAAGTCAGTAGGAGGTTTAAATTTGCTATGGGTTACTTCTCATTAATATTTAGGAAGGTAATACAGGAATGTAAAGAAATAGTTGTATGATACAACTTGGAAATTTAATTACATTTTCTCCCTAAAATGAGAAGAAACATACCCAGTCCAATTACACTGACAGTTCAAAGCAATTTGGTAGCACCTTGGCATATTATCACAATACAAATCAGTTGCATTACACGTATTAAAAAGAGGACAGATTCTCCAGACCACACACTTAAATGGACGGTGGTAAATCAAGTTTGGTGCTGGAACAAATAAATGTCCTACAATATGTTGAGCGCTACAATTAAAAAAAACACAACAGCAACTGCAACACTTGGGAGTTAGACTTGTATATCTTTAGCAGATGTGTGTGTGTGTGTGTGTGTGTGTGTGTATTGGCACATTGTTAATGCAAGATTTGAGTAATCAAAAGCAGCAATAGGTTTGTTGCAGTTAGGAAGGTAGTAATTTTGAGTGGTAGCTTCTGCCACAAAGGCCTTTGGAGGCAGTGAGAAAGCAATAACTTGATTGCTGCTAACTTTTCATGGCCAACCTTCTCACTCATCTTGAAATATGCATTCTGATTTTTGCCATATACCTGTTATAAAGCAAAGCATCTCTTGGAGAGTGCCTGTTCTGTCTGGCTGTTATTTGAAATCTGATAAAAAGATAATTATACTAACTGTGTGACATCACTGTACTGTCCTTGAGAGTTTATTCTTTGATGCTGGTTTGCACTGAGACAGGTACTAGAAGGAAGACTTACTGAAGCCAGCCAAAATATGGCACTTGGTTTATTTAGAGAGAATCATTACCTTATAAAACTCTGAAATTTCAAACCTTCTTGCCCTGTTCACGATCAGCTTTCTGCATGTACGCTGCAGATGACATGTAGGCTTTATACCTCAATATGGAAATACAGGTGATATGTTTTCTGCTGCAGACAAAATCTCCATCCCCTATATTTGCACATTTTATTCTTTTTCTCCTACCCCTAGCAAATGCCATAGCAAGAGAGAAACCTGCCTCCTGCAGGGTTGAGGAGGAGGCAAGAACAAAACAAGCATTCATCTGGCTTCCCTTCTTCCTCCTCTCTTTAAACAAAGGAGATTGTTATGCATACATGTATTTTCAGCCACAGATGTTAATAAGAAAAGAAGAATATGCCTCCACAAGGAATTTTCTATGCACTCTGACTGAATGTCAACTTTTAGTCTGGACAAAAGGACGTTTGTTTTGCCTGCATTCCAGCACTTGCTGGTGTGGGTAGATCAGACATATGATTTCGCCCTGGGGTAGCTGGGAGAGAAGACGGGAAGGTCCTACTGATCATCATCCCAGCTCCAGTAGGTTTGGGAGAAGCCACCTGCATGATCTGTTCCATTATCATTTTACTATATCTTTCCACACCATCAGCTATTTAACTGATATTGGAGTTCTGCAACATTGTGGGTTATATCCTACCAGCCCTTCCACTGTCAAAATGAGCGAGAAAAGGAATCTTTTGGCCACTGAAAGCCTACACGGGAGAAGATGGGATAGGAGCTGCAGTAAGGAGGGGAATCAGATGAGATTGAGGAGAAAAGCTGGTAGCATCCAACCCAGTATGTTTCCAGTGTTTGTCTGCTGCAAATCCAGTCCCATTCAAACAAAGGGGATGACGCTTGGCCACAACCATGTGTCCAAAGGTTATATTTCTATACAATTGTTTGTTTGTTTTCTAGTTATTTTCCCAGATGCTTTTAAAGTACATCAGTATTTGGATTTTAACATCCCACAACTCCAATAACCAGCAACTATTATTTCACTTTAAACACAATGAGAAAAATGGTGCCTACATTTCTGACTGTTTTGACATAATCGTGAACCGACAATGGCTGTTTTTTTAAAATTCACACTGTTTCAAGACAACTGCACAATAGCAACCACTTTATGCCTTCCTGAAAAACACACATGTGTACTTGGTAGTAAATGGCTATGGCACTTGATAAAGAAACTTCCAGCATTGACAGTCTCCTGGAATGTATTCCTAGGATAGTATTATTTGAGAGCAATAGTGTTGCCCCACAGCATGGGCAGCTGTTTCCTCTGACTTTGGCCATGATATTTACAAGTCAACATTTAAAAACAGTTGTCCTGTCGCAGCTAAGCATAAGGTATCATCAGTGACTTTTTTATTTTGATCTTTAGGCACTGTTTTCAAAGTTACGGAGATTTAAATGTACCAATGAGAGCAGAGAAAAAGCCAGTGCAGGGTGTTACGAATCAACACTACAAAAGAATGGCATTTCATATGACGTTGCATCTATACAAGAATAGTCTTTAAAAGCTACACAGATTTCACAATGATTAGTAAATCTAGAGACAACCACAATGTGACCTAGACTTAATTCACCACCACTAAGAACTTGAAAGGAATGCTTCTGAGTTATCTATGCGTAAAAACAGTACCTGACTGTGCACGGCAGGTGCAGGTTTAACCACAACGATCATATTGTTTCCTTGGGGTATGAGAAATAATGTCTTTAGACAGGCATTCTACACTTGTCAGTTCTTTGACTTCTCAACATTTTGACTGTGTTTCAGCGAGCCAGACAGCATGCCAAGGCGCTTACTGTTTCAGAGCCTGAATCCAAGCAGAGGTTTTTCTGCACTGTAGCCAATTATTCTTGACGACACTTGGCTGCTGTTGCAAATATCACTTGCCCTATACACCTGAGAGACTTGCCCTATACTGGCAAACAATGCAGATTGGCGCCCTATCTCAAAAGCAAAGTGCAGAATTCTTCTGGTAACCAACTTCCAGCCTGACATTAGCTGCAGCAGTAACAGCAAGCTCTTCACAAGGATGCTACGCCTCACAGTCTCTAATCACAATTAAAGAATGTAAAGGTTAGCTGCTTCGGGATGTCTTGCGGTCTGATTAAACACTTCTCAAACTAACGCAGACCCCCTAGACAATAAGAAACCTATAATTAGGGGCTAAGTGCCTGAACGCATCAGAAAACGTTTCACTACAGGGAGAGACGGTCAAATGCTACAACATCCTCCCTGACAGGTGTGAACTTTGCTTAATGATGAAGAGAAGAAGCAGGAGTGCCGTCAGCACTTGCCAAAAATGGTTGTTCTTCCTCACAACAAAATTTTCCAAACATCAGAAGTGTCTGCCAGATCAAAAAGGTACATATAAAATACAAAATGTAACAGCCAGGAGCCGAATAGTTTTAGAAGACACTAAGATGACACAAAACGTTAAAGAGGAAAACCGCAGCTGAAGAAACAGATGTTTTTCTAGGAACATCCGTTCCTTCGTCATGCTTTTTCTCTGCTTTTCATCTGAACAAGACTACATATTGTTTTTTATATACTGGAACGACTTTTTGCTACAGACATCCCAAACATTTCTGATACACAGTTTCTTATATTAAATCTCAAAATGTATAGCAATCAAAAAGTACAGTTTCATAGAAGTAATACAAAGCTGTTCTAATCTTGTCACCCTATCCCAATTTCACTTGTTTTGATTTTCTCGTTGAAAAAGAAAAACCAAATAGAAGGACTGACTAGGTTTTACAAAACCCCTCATTAGTCCCACAGCCATGTCAATAGACACTATACAGCCTGATGACATGGAACACCAACAAGCAAGCACAGAAATAAACACAAGACTACAAAAGTCAGTTCCCATAAAGCTACCACAGAGATGCCATACATAATTGTCTTTCTTAGGGCGCTTCTCCAAACAGATATTAAGAAACATCACAGGGATAGTATCACCAATGGAAAAAAAAATATCAAAAGAGGACTGAAACTTTCCCCAATGTGACTGCAGTGACACTTAAAACTACGGTAACAACAGACAATTCCTATACAGTTTTGCCATAGCCAGACTTAACAACATTTCCACTTTCCAGATGGAATAGGGGCAATTAAAAGTTCTGGTCAATTTGAGAGGAAGTTTTTGTAAGAATATTTTTCTTGTGTGCAATTGATTTTTTAGAAAAGGTTATCAGAAAGCCTATCGACATTTTAGAAATCAACAATCCCATCCCGATGGCTAAGTCAACACTTGCTCTATGGAGGTTATTCAGTTTGCTTGATTTTTCTCCCACCCTTTCTTTTACAATTCTTGACTGCGTTGCTGCTATTCTGTTCTCCTTTCCTCTGAGCTCACCTTGCCCCTCCTGGGGACATGTTTGTCACCTCCAAAGAATCTGCCCAGTGAGTCAAGTAGACTTGGTTCCCTGTATCTTCTTGGGGATCCATGTCTAGCATGGTCTATGGTGCTTGCAGTTGCAAGTTTGGATCCATGCCGGAAAGAGGAGCGTTTCTGTGAAGCCATCAAATCCGAATTCTCAGAAGCTGCTGCAGTGTCTTCCTGAATGGTCTGTAGCTCATCTGATTCAGAGGGCCGATCTTTGAAGGTGTTGTCCTCTCTCCCTGGGGCATCTCGGGAAAAGAGGCGGACCAAATGGGGGCGACCAGTCGTGTCAGCTGGGTTGGTCTCCTTCCAGGCATTCTTTGGGTCTGCTGTGCCCTTGGAGTCTGTCACCGCTGTGCGCTTAGTGGAGGTCCCATTGTTCTGGTTCACATCTGCCTCTCCTGCAAACAACAAGGATGAGATATGAATACAGGCTTGTGAAAAACAGAACACTAGAACAATGCTGCTTTTTTCCCCCTCGCCTTGAGTTAGTTGTTTCACACAAAGTCCGTAGATTATGTACACTTGCAGCACAGTTGCCTTCTACCAGCGGTACGTTTTGCCAGAATGAATATAGCTCAAAAAAGGAGATGTTGGGCTGTTCTTGCCTGGAAACAGTACTGGAAATATAGGTAATGTCCTTTAGGTACTAGCAATGTGAAGCAATGATTCATAATCTATAATTTAGACTCAGCAGCCTTTAAGTGAAAACAAACTGTATTAAGTTTCAGGACATGGCAATTTTGCGAAATGTCTAGTATGATGATTCCTTTCACTAACCACTTTTTCTTGCTGTTTCTGCTGACAGCAGAGGGTGATGACCGAGGGAAGGCGTGTCACATGGGTGCTTTAATCCAACTTCTGAAGGTAAACTGATTTTTTAAAAGGTTTCACATACCTAAAGGATAAAATGCTGTGCCCCCACAGTTAATGAAGCTTTGATATAGATTTTCTAGAACCTGTTCTGATTCTTTTTTTGTTTTGTTTTGTTACACTTTATCCTTTAGGTGTGTGAAAGCTTAACAAAACCTGTTTGCCTTGAGAACCCAAAGTGGGTTTAAAGAGCTCATAGGAAAGTGACCAGTGACACGGGTAGAATCCATTTTGGTTTGGTTCTAACTAGTTCTAGCAACACAAGAAACCTTTGAAAGAAATTATTTGCTGTGCTTTAAAAACACTGCAGGACTCGCCAAGGTGCTTGTAAGTCTGACTGAGTTCAACAATTTATAGTCAGGGCTTATTGCTGAGTTGAACAATCCCGCTCCCCAGCATTTCTATCCCAACCTCAATTTACTCCAAGTTATATTGTCCTAATGAAGGTATAGTTTAATTTGTTGGATGGCACCCAACATGCTGAAAAATCACACAGTCAGGAATCAGGAGATATACATGTGTGCATGAGCAAGCCTCTGACTGAAAACCCACACCTGGAGTTAAAACACACGCACAGAAATGTCTCCTTGCATCCTTCAGTAGTCCTTGTCTGGGTCTGGAGGCAGGCTGCAGCAGGAGACCTCTCTCCGCCTGGACCGTGACAGCGCCGACTGCCTCCATGGCCCAGACCTCGGCCCCTGACTGAGTCAACTTACCAAGGCAGGAGCCGAGGGAGGAGATGAGGCCGGCGGCACAGATGGCAACAAGGGACAAGAGGCAGGGGGAGAAAGTGTGGCAAGTGACACAGTTGGAAGTGGGGGAGAAGAGGGCAGAGGAATGTCCCCCAATGGCCCTGGCCAGTGTCGGAAGGCCCTTGGACACATTGGCAGTTTAGATATTTACAAATTTTAAAACAGAAAAAAATATGTAGATAACAGCAATTTCCAGATGATCAGAAATCTATTATTACAGGGATCAATGGATTGGATGCAACCAGCTTTTTCATTGAGACTTGCCCACCACATACCCTCAGTACTACAAGCCCTTTCCCCACATGGCTTCGGTTCATGCAGGTGCCATGATTCTCTGCATAGCCTTTTTGGGTGGGCAAAGAGGACCCCTCCTCCTTTTTCTCCAGGAGAAAAGCTGTTCGGATACAACTCATTACCTTTAGAATAAAAAACACAGCTATACCGTAATGCTCCTAAAATGAAAGAATCACAAGCATGGGGTTCATTTTGCACACCGGGGACAGGTGTGCAAAACTCCCACTGAGGGGGGACTGCGCGGGCCCTCAGCCGAAGAACCCACTGGCTGAGCCCCTCTGCCTGGCTGTAGCAGAGGGACAGGGCGCCTCAGAGAGCCCTGAAGCGCCAACACTCTTCACGGGACTCCTTCCCTCTCTGCCTCCAACAGCCTCTCTGCCTAACGGCCTGATGCCAAGTAAAAATGATTGTGTATTAAATGACTCCTTCAAGTTGCCTGTAATGTAATCCTGTGCAGTTACTCCACTCTAAGACCATTGATTTCAGTGGGTTTAAAACGTAACTGCACAGGACTGCACTGTAAATGGCTTTTATTTCGCCACTTCGCAATAAGGCATGGGATCTAGATCTTATCGCATGGTAAAAAGTGTTCCTTTACTCGACAGAGTAGGACCTTAACAAAACATTTATTCAATTTATTACCGGAACTCCCATTCACAAGACTTAACTGGCTAAATATAGAGAATTGGGTAACGACTTTTCACATCAAGAAAACAGAACTTTCTACTGGAGGAATCCTGAAACAATGTTGATTTTTTAATGATGTCGCTTGCCACAACTCCTTCCTGATGTTGAGTTGATTCCTGCATTGCGCCCCAAAACTCGCTGGCATCTATGAATACCGAGTGCGTGGAATTCTGCTTCTTCAAACTTACAGTGGTGCTCAGTGCCAGAGGTTGCCAAGACAGCATAATCAGTTCCAAAACAAGTGCTGGAGGCACTTCAAAATGTACAGGTGGGAGGTGCAGAAAGAGACAACAGCAAATCCAAAGCGATTGTATCAGATGAGGTGTCTTTCTGATCCTCTCCCGATTGCTTCTCGGGTTGCCGCCTTGCCAGCAACCTGCTCATTTTTTAGTTGAGACTCTTATGCATGTTTCTGAAGAAGAAGAAGAAGAAGAGATTGGATTTATACCCCGCCCTTCACTACCCAAAGGTGTCTCAGAGCGGCTTACAAACTCCTTTCCCTTCCCCTCCCCACAACAGACACCCTGTGAGGTAGGTGGGGCTGAGAGAACTCTGACACAAACTGCTCTTTTTCAAGGACAGCTGTGCCAGAGCTTGCGACTGACCCAAGGTCACATCAGCAGGTGCAAGTGGAGGAGTGGGGAATCAAACCTGGTTCTCCCAGATTAGAGTCCGCACACTTAACCACTACACCAAACTGGCTCTCTGCAATGGTTCTTCCCACAAGTGAGTATCCTTTAGATGCAACCACACTGCTGCCATGACAAATAATGGGTTCAAACACTATGCAGCAGATTCACCAAATGGGGATGTTTGTGTGGAGGCATAAGGCCACAAGAACTGCCTAAGCGGGCCACACCGAGGCCCAACTAATCTAATATTGCGTTTCTAACAGAGATTTGCGAGTTTCCTCTAGGAACTCACAAACAAAGCTTCATCTTTCATGAGCATCTGTGAAATGAGTGTGGAAGCTGCATGTAGCTGTTGATAGACCTATCCCGCCTGAAATGATAAGATGCCCAGAGAAGTTTGCCTGATCATCCTTTTAAAAAAGTGGTTTTAAAAAGCATCAAGAACTCAATCAACTTTAGTCCTTTAAGAAAGGGGACGTCCAATAAGCTGCTTCGTGGGACTGAGATGTTTCTCTCAGCAAGACTGCACTGGTCTACCCTTTTTGAATCCTCTTTCTAGCGTGCCTGTAACAACCTGCATAGCAGGTGGAGATTCAGAACCTCTGCCTTCTGTACAGCCGTTAAAGGCAGAGTTTGATCAGAAAACAGCTGGCAATCTTAATTTCAGCATAAGTTTCAGAAGGAAAGGAAAGCTAATTTTTCTTCACAGTGACAACTACTTGTTAAGGACTCCTCAGGCAACTCTTCTGCTCTTTTCTTTGACTTCAGCATTTTTTGCTGACTGTGCCTGCTGACTGGGGAGGTTTAAAACTGTAGATGAAATTATAATACCTTGCACTTTTTTGAAGGTTTGAGTATATGATGACTTTTGGACGGGAGCTCAATGCCGGCATAAAGATTTCCAGAGAACAGAAGCAATATAAGGAATTTTATTCATTTAACACTGCCTAGATTCTATGCCATAATACACATTCATTGGGGGGTGGGGAGAGAACAATGAAGATATTGTATTTTAATTAAATGCATTAACAAAACACCAGAGCATCTGCATGCTAATATTTTTGCAACAGTTGTGCTTTGTGTCAGTGATTGCATTTACTTGTGGGCAACAAAGGAAAGCATTTGTGCCACAAAAAGTAGCTTCTCCCAATGCTGGCCTAGAACATCTCATGCCTTTCTTTAGGGATAAAAATATGCATTGAGAGTTTTAATTTTCCTGTTTCAGGGAATGGTTTCAGGTTTTTTTAGAAGGTACAGCAGAACTGCACCTTTGGCTTACTCTAGAAAACCCTGGCTGCTGGCTTTTGAACACATGGCCATTTGATTACTAGCATGACTTCCATTTAGGCTATAGCTAGCTGCATGTGAATTTTGCATTCTAAGGAGTTGACACATGCAGGGGTCATTTCCTGCAGGAACGCACAGGAGCGGAGCTCCGGCAATAAAGAACCCAGGGGGTGGGCACATGCAACAAGCCCCACCCCCTGCTCCCAGCAGCCCTCAGTCAGAGAAAGAAGCAGACAGGTAAGTTGCACAGCCCCCCCCCGCGCCGAGGCGCAGAGCCCAGGGAAGTCCTCCAGAGCCCCGCCTTCTCTCTTTCTGTCTTTCCCTCCTTATTTCCTTCTCTCCCTCTTTCTTTCCCTCCTTCCCTCCTTCTTTCCTTCCCTCTTTCTCTCCTTTTTTCCTTCTCTTTCCTTCTCTTTTTTCCTTCCTTCCTGCACAGATCTGTGCATCCCCCCCCCATAGATAGCAATCCAAAACAGTCCAGTGGCACCTTTAAGGCCAAGGTTTATTCAGGTACAAGCTCTCCCTCCTCTGTGAGGACAGATCTGTGCATCCATAGCTAGCAATTCAAAACAGTCTAGTGGAGCCTTAGCAGCGGTTGTTGCCTTCAGACACACTTCTTTTTTTGGTAAACAAAATTTTATTTTCTTAGGAACATAACATATAAAATTAAATCATTCGATCCATTGTCTACCCCATTCCCTTCCTCCCCTCCCTCCAATGGCTTCCCGCAATGCTTCTCCCCCTTCTTACAAATTTCTTTATATCATTAACACACCTTCAGACACACTTCTGGTGATGTCAGGGGGTGTGGCATGTGCAAATAAGTTATGCTAATGAGTTATGCTAATGAGCTCCTGAACCTCTTTTTCTACGAAA